TTGACCTTCGCTTCGGTAGAATGCCGGTACGTTTGGCGAGAACGAGGGGTAAGGTTCTTCTCAAGGCGGGTCGTATCCCAGATCTTTGCAGTGCCATCATCGGAGGCCGTGACGAAGAAGGCATGGTCGGGCGCGACCACCACCCGATTGACAGGCCCACTGTGCTCCCCAAATACTGTCACAAGGCCACCAATGGGTTTCCAGACTTTGCTAGGTTCCTGTCCGCTGGCCTTCATCATCGGCTTTTTGGTATCCACTTCCTTGACATAAGGACCGAGGTCGAAGAAGTCCGTGGGGTAGTTTTCCGCGAAAACCGAGTCAAGGAGGCGGAGAACGACTGGATCGTTCCCAGCGTAAGAGTGATTGGCATGATACTGCTGCGGGCCACGTTCCAGTGCTGTCCTTACAGGGAGCGTGGGAGAAGCAACTGCTTGTTCATCTTCGCGTTGCGAAGGAGAATCGACTTTGCCAAAGGCATTGGCGGGGCTTGTCCCCGTTTCGGCATATGCTTTGGCAAAATCCCTACGATTGAGCAAGCTCATAGCGCTCGGCTTTCTCTGTACCCCACTAGCCAACCTTCTGATAGTAGGATTCTCCGCATCAGTGGGGGTGGATGAGCTATCTTGTCCCGGACTCTCGCGACCGCCTGATATTCTTCGTTCAGCATCCGAACTGGGTGGCGAGGCAGGCCCAGCGGCTCCAGGCGAGGTCGCAATTGGTGATGGGACGGGAGAATTCTCAGACCTGATATTGTTCACAGCGATTGGGCGTGGGATTGTCAAATGGTCCGTTAGCTGGCTCCTCGAACGAAGATGTTTCCGGCGGGATTCAGGTCTGTTGTCAATAGACGTTGAGGCATCGAGCAAGGCATCGGTGATTGTATGTGGTCTTCGGTCTTCAGCCTTAGCATTCTCCGTATTCCCGAGGGAGTTTGTGCGAGGCCGGGTATTTTGTGTTTTGTCAAAGAAGACAGTCTGTGGCGTGACTCCATACTGAGTCAAAGCGATGACGCTATTCAAAGGCGAATTCCCCGTTACGTTGTCCTTCGACTGGCGGGCGATGACCCTCCAGATGAACTCCTTAAGTGCGAGGAATTTTGATTCGTCCTCCTGGCCCATTCCAATGTTCCTCAGTCGCGCGAGCCACTGTTCATCCTCCTCATTCCTCGGTTGCGTACTCATCGACAGGCTCGAACTCTTTTGACCCCATCTAGGGATGGTACTATCTGTTCCCAGGAACGCAAAACTCGCTTCACGGGATGTTGCCTTCCAAAAAAGGCCCTTTTCGACATTTGAAGCCCAGACAAATGCAAGTTCATACACATTTCTCGAGAGTGGTCGCTTGAGAGCGTCAAGCAGCTCACCCTCGGTGAAATTAACAATCTTGACTTTCAAGAACGGCTGAACAAGCGGAGTCAAGATAGAGTATTTATCTGCCACGGAAAGAAACTTGGTTGGCGCGATGATGAATTGGACAGCAGCCTCACGAATCCAGGCGTTCGGGTGCACCAGGAATCGGACTACAATATGGATCAGCTCCCAAGTTGTCGAGCGTTGGAAAAGCCCAAGACCAGCCATTGCTGCCAACGACCTGAGTACCCTTTCGACGACGAACTCCTCAGGATCAGTCATCGACTGTACCATTAGCGGCAAAATGTACTGCTCCAAGCTAGTAGTGCCGACGTAAGCTGCAACCCCAATCACTGCCTCGAAAAAAGCACATTTCAAAATCCAATCCCTGTCGTTGAGATAAGTATTCAAATGACTCAGAATCACCTCATTGGTCTTGAGGTTGCCGAAGAACACGCAAAGCTCTGATACGGAACCCAAGAAGGCACGACGGACTGATGCGTCGCTATCAGTTAACATGGCTTTAGTATGTGCTTCGAAGTATTCAAGGAGATCAACCCTTGCAACGTCGTAAAGGTTGTGGTAGGTCGCATCTTCTGTCCACCTGGGCTCTGATCCAACTGGTATCAGAGCTGGAAGTCGCGTATCAGAGCGCAGGGCTTGAATCATGTCCAAAAATCTCAAGGATGAGTGGGCAAGCGACGCAATACATGATGCGTATGCCGCTCGCACCAGTCGGCTCGGATTGAAACTGGTACTGGGCACGAACGGTTGCAACCTCGGGAAGATATACTCTGAGAACAGGTAGGCATTGACCGGTGACACGACCTGAACCATTTCCAGCAGCTGAGCGAGGGCACGAATGGCAGCTACCTTGACTCTATCCGTGCGGTCGTTCAGAAGTATCATAATATATGGGAGGATTCTGTCCAATTTGGCCTCATCCGAGAGTCTCTCAGCGAAGGCAAGCAGAATGTCACAAGCCTTGATCCTGGCGGATGATTTCGACGTATTACGCAGGTTGGAGACAACGAGAGCCAGGAATATCAGCACTCCGTCATCTCCTTGTGGCTGGGACTTTGTAGTCGTAAGCCCGTAGTGAGGAAGGTCTAGTTCCACGGGAAAAGTATCGCCGGTGAGCTTGGGGCGGTTGCGGTTTGATCCATCTTTAGTAGTTGTTGGTGAGGCACCAAGAAAGTAGGATATTTTATCGAAGTCAAGGTAGACTCTTTCAATGCGGTCATCAGCCTCTCCTCGACTGGTAGATCCTGCTTCTACCTGTGCCCTACCCGACGATGGATCCGTCATTAGAGACATGTATTGATGTAAAAAGCTGTAGAAGTATTCGGGGAACGCCTTGTTCTTCCAGAAATTCAGGTACTCTTCCGCGGAATATCTAGACTCAGGCTCGAGCTGGATCATGTGGAGAATCAAGGCACGGATCTCCGGGTCCTCAATTTTGATCAACTGGCTATGTTCTGGGCTATATTCACCTTTCCGGTACTTGTAAATCTGACTCAATGTGAAGATAGGAGCCTCTAGAAAAAGTTCAGCAATGACGCAGCCAGCACTGAAGATGTCCATAGCCCAGTTGACATGCCGGCTTCCAGGTTCCTCGCCGGCTTCGAGAAACCTTTCAGGTGCCAAGTAGCAGGTCCGACGACCGGACGTGTCAAAATAAAATGAGAAGTCCGCCGGATTGTCCTCCGGAAGAAACGTGGGTTTGAACGAGGACGAAAAGTCAGAGAGGTAGAGCCAATTCCAAGACGTGACCAGAACATTCTCGGTTTTGATATCACCATGGAACACGTCGAGCGAATGGCAATCCCTCAACGCACAAAGGAGTTGAAAGGCAATCCACTTCTTCTCAATCTCCTCGGGAAATGGACGGGTACTGTGCACTGTGGTCAGTGAACATACTCATACCATCGTGACAGATCTTCAGCAAACATACCTCATCCGGTCATAAAGAGAGCTATGGATGTATTGCCGAACGAGATAACCACCGGTGCTGGTCTCGAGTATCCTCTGATAACTCAAAGCATTGGGTACGTCGGCCAACAGCCTGCGCTCCCCTACCGCCGGTGTTAGCACCAGTGCACATGCAATGCAGCTGATCGGAACTATCGGGACTTACGAAAAATAGCTTTGATATATGGCTCCAGCTTCATACTGGGATAAGGCTTCATTATAACCTTTACGAAAACGAGGCCATTGTGTTGTCTGGCCCGGATGCTTTTCATGAACCTGCCACCACCCATGGACTTCTCATACGCCAGGTCCGATAGTTCGGGGACATCGATCCCCGCCGAACCCGCGGACAGGGTGGTGAGTGAATAGCCTTGGCCCATGATGTTGATGCGCCTTCATCTCCCAAATATGGCAGAGCAAGATTTGGCCTGTCACATCAAGGTTGCTAGAGATGACTCAAAAGCGAATAGTTAAAAGGTAGGGGTTAGATGCTTTGGCTGAAAGAGAGAGCCAGGCCAGAAAGAATGGCGGGTTAGTTGGGTTGGGTCTGGGTCATGTCATGGGGTGGATAAGTTGAATGAAGCCGCGCCCGACACGGTTGGAGCTCCCATGTTGGTCACATGATTCAAAGGAAAGCGGTGAAGCGGCTTCGCTTCGGCTGTAGGCTGTAATCGAGATAGATTATTATCTACAGAGTACAGAGCACCGTACCTTAGTCTCATCCATCCATCCCTACTTATGGTGCTTCCTTTCATGCGGCTGGCTCTTCAATGAAGCTGTCGTTATTGTTAAAGTGACTTTTTCTTTTTCAGGAATAGAACTGAAACATTTTATCGCTTTGAGAATCCCTCCTACGAACTGATGATCAATCCGTCGGCTGCGGAACTGAGATAACCTTTGATCGAGCAGACCAACATCTCTACAGAGGTGAGGCTCGATCAGCTGTACATCTCTGACGAACTAGAAGTCACCAACTCATGTAATGCTTTTATCATTGGGCACGGATGGGATGTGGCTGCAATGGCGTCCCGTAGAGCTTGTTTCGCCGGCGGATTCATGGCCCCGAATGAGCCAATCATGCCGCCATACTGAGACTCTCGCCATCCTTCCGGGAACACCTCAGATACCCTGACACTTATTTAGAACGGTCGCCAACAACTGCTCAGACAAACTCACCCAACACTATGGACAATAGTCCAGCATTCTAAGTGAGAAGCCCTGCTTTTTATCTTCTTCTTCAATAATTTCTCTGCTTCTCCTGCTGACGAGCACTCATGCCAGAAATACTACCTCTTCAAATACAGTACTATCGGTGCCATTCAGTACCTGGCTCCCGGTAAGGTTGACATGCATCCCTGAAGAGTTGTTCACCGACAAATCGTTCGCAGACCCTTCGAGAAACTAGCACCTGCACAAAAAAAAATAAAATAAAATCCCCAAGCGGAAAAGAACACAAGACTGTATTGGGTTATTGAATTTACCCTCTGTCCTCGTTCTCTTCTATCCCTTTTCTTCTCGTTACTTTGACGTGTTAGCTTTCTTGTATTCACGGTTGCTGTTTCCCGCTTCCTTTTTACAACAAGGGTATTCACTAACGCTAGTTATAGTCAGGTCGTACAGTCTTGAGGGCCACGAGCCTACTTTACTCGACTGATGGCTTCTTTCGGGATGGAGTCCTCCATGGCGTCACTTCCGCTGGTCGATCAAGACCACATTGAGGTTCCTATCGTTGATGACAATGAGCCCCTCATCGAGGTCGTACGCAAACTTCAAAAGTAATTTCTTGCTCCTGCAATCCGTTAGTACTAGCCAGGCTGACTGGCTACTGTCAATTAGCTATATGATACAAGCGATCTCCGAGGTCTCATATTCTTTCGAGGAATTAAGATTCTCACCTTGCGGACAGAAGCTTAGGTTACTGCTGTACTCATTAGCAGAGAATTCGCACAATCCATGTATCATCTCTGCACTGATGTAAGCTTCTCATGCATGTAGCTGCATGAACCTCTGGGCTGACCCGCTGCAGGATCCTGAAGTGGGAGTTCAACAATGCAGCCGAGAATGACTGGGGTCTAAACGAAGGCCGCGGCTATGCATGCGAATACGTAGCATGGCAATTTCTCTGTCACATCAATCAGCGCGAGACTATTGAATACTTGCTAGAGGAGTTGCCTAGCCCCGTGTATGCCTCCATCAGTCTCACCCAAGCGGAGAGAGGCGCATCGGGTTTCACATCCGCAGGCGACGAGCAAAGTTTCCAGCGGGAAGGAGAAAGAACATCCCTCCTTCTGCACTCATCTTCTTCGCTGTACCGATTTTTCGGCGGAAAGAGGCGCGCAGGCAGCGCGTCGGATATAGCAAACTCTGGGAGTAACATTTCCTCTGCGGACGCGTATGAGCTTATGAAGTACTCCATGTTTTTCGGACTCAGCGCCCTGGAGATAGCAGCCATCGCAGAAGCAAAGAAGTTCCTGAGTCAGAAAGTCGTTCAAAAGGTAATTGACAATATTTGGAATGGGGAGATTGTCTTCTGGGATTCGCTCAGTGTTCATTCCACCAAGAAACCACAGTTCTTCAACAAGAGGTAGGAGTCCCTTCCTCCAAACGGGAGAGCATCTCGCAGGTTGCTAAGAGACACACCATACAGGACCGCGGATCCATACTCCCGCTTGAGGGTCCCGGTATATCGCAAAGCATTTGAGGCTGCATTCTTCGTCTCCTTCCTATTTCTTTACTATGCTGTTTTGGTGGAGAGAAAGTCCACCGGCATAGGTATCTTCGAAACATTGATGTACATCTGGATTGCTGCTTTTGCCTACGACGAATTCAGCGGCATGACTGATGCGGGGATGGTCTTCTACCAGATGGACTTCTGGAGTGTCTGGAACATAGCCATTATCGGTACCGGTCTTGCCTTCATGATCATAAGTGAGTCACGCTCGAAGATCAGAAATCTGCCTCGTCACAGTGCCCATTATTCTCAGCTGAGCACAGTCTCTGTGCAACCAGGTTTCTGGCAGGGGCATTTGCATGTTCTCCATTGACTAATTACACTGGGAATACCAATAGGGGTTATTGGTCTGGCGAAGAAGAGTGATTACATCACTGACCTATCTTTCGATATCCTGTCCTTGGAGGCTTTGTTTCTAGTTCCTCGGTGAGTCCGGAGCGCCCTTGTGCCAGCAAGGTGATACGTGTTTCAGCAGACTCTGACACATGGGAGCTGAACAGGATCTGCTCCCTGGTGAGCTTAAATTCCTATTTTGGAAGTTTGGTATGCCATGCCTGCGGATTATGTCTACGTGTGAGGAGACTGGGCTGACTTCCATGCATAGATCCCGGTTCTCAAGGAGATGGTGCAATTACCCGGCTGCCCCGTAGTTGCAGGTGGCGAGGAAGCTGATACAAGTCGTTCTAGACCAAAGCGTTCTTCCGATTTATCCCTGTGATCGTAGTGCTGTACCTAGGTGGGTAACCCCAAATGACGCATTCGAGAAAGCCTGATGCCAATGCAGCGGGGGATGTTCCTGCAGGGTTCTTGACCACGTTTACCATGCTCGCCCGTGACCGCCTCTCTCTCAGGCAAATGTCCTGGATTTTGGTGAAGGTGTTCTTTGGGTATGGCGGTGAAATTCCTTGGTTAACGAAGACGCTTCCCTGGAGCTAACAGTGCGAGGCAGGTCGAACGTGCTGGGCTTCGTGGGTTGTCCCTTGTCTCTTGGATGCTCGAATTTCTGCAAGACTGACGGTGGCTGAAATGATTGGAAACAGGACATCGCTCACGATGTAAGTCTCATGCACTAGACGGGCGCCATGCAATCTTGATTGGAAGATGACAAGGATCGTCGGAATCGATTGGCTCTCGAGTGAAGTTTTACTGACGCGCTAATTCTTAGATTTCCCCGATCTTCGGCTACGGTTTGATGTGTGTTGTTCCCTTTTGCTGTTGCTGTACTACACCTGCTCCGTACTGCGCCACAGATGCCATGGGACGTGCCGGTCGCATACGCCTGTGATCACGTTTGGCGTTTCCCTGTCGCTTTACCCTGTCTATCCTTGATCTCAGTTCCAGTTCTGTTCTCGCTCAGGTGCATCTGAAGGTGGCGATGCCAACATCAGACATCATAGGGCCATGGACTCAATGCTCTGAAGGCCCGTTGATGAGCGCCGGTGTTGCCGGGCCGCCAATAGGATGCAACTTGAGCACGTCAAGCCTCACACCCGACCTTCTCGGCATCGATGCGAACGACTACGGACCCCATCACACCCCAATTATAGCCCGGAAATAGTGGCTAATGGACATTCGCGTGCAGGTTAATATTTGTCTCCATGACCAATTTATTGTTGCTCTCGTCGTTGGTCAGCCTTATGAGCATGAGTCTAGAGGGGGTATGTCTGTCCATCGCGCACGGTGGCTGATTTGCGCACTTCCTAATTTGTCAACTGCTAATCGGCATTGACTCTATCTTTCAGGTCATGGCTCATGCGAGAGAAGAGTACCTCTTTCAGTGAGCGTTCTATCTAGGCGACATGCAAGAAAAAAAAAAGGCGAAAATAGCTGACGCTAGAACCAGGTTGTCGATCTACGTCTTGGAAAGCAGTAATTCGCGAAGGTTGACCTACTTTATGCCTCCTCTGGTCAGTCCATGGTGATCACTTGAACTTGCACCAGAGGACGAGTCGCTAACATCGAGATCTGCTCCGCTATAGAACCTCATCCCTCTTCTCTGTATCCGGCCCATGAGGCTCTTCCTATCTGCAGAGCATATTCGCCGAGTCCGCATCGTGTTGCTCCGAGCAACCCACCTACCGTTTGTTGCGCTGATCTGGGCCTATGAAGCTAGCCGCCGCTATGTTTCGCGGCGAAATAGTCAGTTTCCACCAACAGCCACGACAGGAGGGAGCAGTCGCCCGATCTCGTCTTTCCAAGCGGGCTTCCCTCTCTCCACGCACCATGCCCCGCTGCAGAGCTCCGCAAGTGAGGGGCAGTTCTCCAGACCTACAAGATCCAAGGAGCGCTCTCACTCGGAGATACGCGGGTCATTTTCAGGACAGGCTGGATCGGTTGACATTCCGGATATGGTCGATGAAATAGAGAGATTGCGGGTTCAAGTGGAACGAGTGGCTACAACCGTGGCCTTTCTCCATCGAGCCCATTAACGAACGCTAAGTCAGCTCTTTCCAGCTGGCGAGGGGCTAGACTAGAATATGGAGACGATTGTGCCGTAGGCCTGTTAGGCACACGCACTCGCCGCAGGGCCGGCTTCAGAGCCTAAGCTTTAGCGCGAGCACCGGCCAGCGACCAACTCGAAAATGGGTTACGTTTTTGAACTTCGAAGCCTCACTTGCACGGAAAGATTTGGTGTATTGCTTAGATGGTTGAGCGTTTTTGCATTATTGTCTCACTAACTAGATACACTTCCTACTTCCTGAATATGATTGTACATAGTTGATCAATTCCCTTTTGTTCTTTGCGCGGCCCAGATGTCTGTGTGACACCCTCACACTGGTGCGTTCTTGCATTTCCCGATCCCTTGGCCTCGCTGTCGATGCTGCTTTGGTCCATGCACTGTATGATAAGAGACCTCTAGACCTCCACATGCCTTCCATTGCTTAGGAGAGTTAGCACTACAATAAAATGTCAACATGGCACTTTTTAGGTAAATGCAGAGATTGTTCTTGTAAGTCTTTGCATTAGTTGCAATGGGCTAAGAATTGATGCAATTTTCCACAAGTTTCTACTCAATTTAGAAACAAACATACTCAGGCCAGGGATTACAATAGTAATGGGACCATGCCATTTTTCCCAGTTCCAATGTTGGTTGGAGGATGGCCCGGGATTAGGGCCGGATGCCCCTCATTGCCCTGGTTCATACGCCCCCAAAACTGTACCCGTACGGGGTCACGGGTAACTTTGGGACCCCCCGGGGCCGGGGCCTACTCAACCTTTCCCCCCCCCTCCTTTCCTCTCCCCTTCTATTCTTCCCTCCTCAATCTTCTCTCTCTCCGCTAAACTGAACTTCTTCATCAACGAAGATAAGCCAGCCTTCAACATGAATTTTCACTCAAAATCATACCCCCTAACAACACCCTGGCCACGCTCTTGTCACCAACAGTACTATACTACGCGACGGTGATTCTGGATTTTGATTCCTGTCCTCTCGTTTCCTCAGCCATGGGGCAGTGTTTGTCAATCATACCTGGCGACACGCACTGTTGCGTTGCCAAGCAAGGTACCAGACTGTCGGGTCCCAGCTATTCCTTTTTCATCCACAGCAAGAAGACTGAGAATGAATCAGACGAAAAGAAAAAAGAAAAAGAAAAAGAAAATCGCGCTCGACCAGTCTTGCTATTGGGGAAACCAGCGGTCCCATTCAATAATTATGATGCAGGCGCTGCTGATGCTCGTCGTTCTCCAGCAGTCCTGGGTGGAACAGGCCATCCTACCTCTTTCCCCCCTCTCCCTTCCCTTCCCCCCGTCTATCGACTGGGGTTGATTCCGTTTCCCTCTTTTTCCCCCTCCTCTGGCTCAAGCGCCGCCGGCTGCCGTTTGTGCTCCTCTTCCCCTCTATCCGCTGTCAAGTGCGTGTCGGGTCCTCATTACCGTCGATTCCTTTTAGACAAACTACCACACCTCAGGACGGTGTTTTCCGATGTCAATCGCTTCATGCATTACTCTTCCCCACCCACACCTCTTATATTTTGTTCTTTTTAGCCCAGGGTAAAAGAGGTGACTGGCAACTTGGCCTGATCACATCCATCCGGCGCTAATTTATTGTGCATAATATCTAATTGTCGCGCCTATATGGATGCTGCAGACCAGAGGCTGCAGTCCACTTGGTTCGGCCCTACCCAGCTAGGCCTTGCACACCCCCTTCGCGTGAAGTCCCTCCTCGCCCATGCAACGATGTCTCCTCAAGTCTGCCTTGCCTGACGGGGCGTTGGTCTTCTTGCTTCTATCTCACTCTTCTGTGCCCCATGCGGCGGATGCTGTACTCCAATTGTCATATGGCAATCTAGTCGTCATTGCTTTCAGCCGCTGTTTATCGTGCGCCACTATTGCGATCGCACAGCAGCGTTGCTACCGAGTCACTTTGACTCCTAAAATTTTTTTATATAATTATTCTCGCTGTCACGGCCCAGTGACATCTCCTGCATTGTTCAGTCACTTGTTGATCGTCCTTGACTTTGATCAAGACGCCGTGAAAGATATAATATCTTCGACCTGTCTTCCCATTTTGTTTATAAACTTCTTGTCCGTGTCTTCATCATCACTCGTCACCTTTTTCAATACTCTTGGCTGCTTCTTCATCAACAATGAACTTCACGCCTATTTCATACCCGACACCTTCGCCCTTTGCTAGCTCGGCGTCGGATGACCACCCGATCCTAGATGCCACTTCAGCTTATGCGTCCTCTATGTATGCGACTTCCTTCGATATGCAGAACACTCAACAGCTGGCTGGCTTGGGCATATCACACTTCGGCATGGAAAGTACTGCGTCGGAGACCGAACTATATCCGCACCCAGCACCTCCTACCTTGTCAGCCAACGCTTGGTTGAATACAACTTTCAGTCCCGAAAACTTCCTCCAACCCCCTCCGGAATACAGGCTCTTCTCTTCGACAGCCATCTATGAACCGCTTGGCGGTGTCATGGAGGCTGCTCCCTCTCCGTCAAGTTTCTACAGTTCACAAACGTTAAGTTCGTCGTTGAGTTATGGTTCGACTACGGAGACTGAGGGTCACCACGAAATTGCGCCGGAAGACCGGCCATTTGTATGGCCTCGCACGCCGACTTCTGAGTGTCCAAATATGCCAGTAGACTATACCATGAAAAAGGATTCGGATGGGTTACAGGGACCCTCTGTGCACGGAAATTCAGCTTCCGACGCACCTTCTGCACTTTCCCAGATGGCACCTATGCCTCTAAGCGGCACAGACTCTGGGCTGCAGTGGCCTCACATCGATAGTGTCAGTAACTCAGCTGCGTTTAATGCCGACCAAGAAAGCGCACCCGGACCAATCCCCTCCGAAGCAATCTCAAGGTGGATCGAGGAGGTGGTCAGGACTCCTGGTGAAGAGCTGAAGATACCATCTGCGAGTGGCCTGATGTGCAGTGTGTGCGGATTTCGATTCACTCGACGCTCTAATTGCCGAGAGCACGAGAAGAGGCATGACCCTAGGCAGAGGAAGTCTTTCCCATGTGACATCTGTGGAAAGGCATATGGGCGGAACACTGATCTTCGGAGACATGTGCAGAGCGTAAGTGGCAATACTTGATTTAAGAGATCGAGTTTCTGACAGTCGCAGGCCCATGTTCAGGAGCGTAAATTCTACTGCGACCAGTGCGGGCAGAACTACAGCCGACAGGATACGCTTAATAGGTATGCTGACAACTTTCCGTGCCAGTAAACTCGACATGCTCAGATATTGACACTGTGTTAGACACAAGCTAGACGGATGCCCTCTGAAGAAGCGAAAATGCAACGCTTCGTAGAGGGTTCCAGGACCGCATTCGTGGTTTTGTTTTTCACCGGATGATTCATCGCTACGAACGGCCATCAGCATCGGTATTCCTTGACCAGCAGTGGGAGAAGACTCAACCGCTGCACAGGTTGTGGAATCAGTCAAGCCCTGCGTTGACCGCAAGCATCACCGCCATATTTCTTGACACGCCTGTATGATTTCTTGGGAGGTAACAGTCGATACTAGCACATCACATTCTGGGTGGATTTTGTTTATATCTATATGTTTGTTGCAAGGAGGTCATCTGCCTTCATGTTTGTCTCTTTACTTGCCATGGCCATTGTTCTTGTTTTGGGGTTACCTTCTGGTGAGGTTGTTGCGTTGGCATTTGTTCTATCTGGTTTCGAGCTTGTGTTTCTGCAGCTCGCATCGAGCACATGGGAGGGCTATAGAGCCTCAGCGCTCCCGCGTGGCAGGTCCATGCGGAAGCAAGGAGAGCAGATTGTAGGAGACTCGCACAGCACGCACAATCGATTCATTGTTCCTTTCACTCGAAGCAAAGCTTGTATTACATTGCCGGAATAGATGGGAATAGATGGCCAGACAATCGCGCAAATCTAGCTCGACACTAACAGACGCTAGGCTCGCGTAATATCGGACTCGAACAAAGACAGACCCAGGCTACGGAGACACCGTGGCCGGTTGGTCAATGAGGCTGTTTTCACTGCAATGGGGGGGGGGGGGGGGGCACACTCAGCAACAACAACCTGCAGACAGACTTCCAACACTGTGTGTACAACTGTGTACAGGACGTACTGTACACTCTTATGAGTGCGACTCCGACCGCCGACCGACCGACCAACCGGCCGCCACACGTTGGAACCATGGATTAGCGGGAGATAGGGCCAGTAGTTCCAGTATAGTACTTTTACCCGCCCTAACCCCGAAACGTCGTCCCCTGGACAGGCTCCAAGGAGTAGTCCAGGCAGTTTTTCCCTCTTTTGCCCGTATCGAGACTAGTTCCATCCACCTCATCAATCTCGTCTCCCCCCGACGGCTTAGGCTATTAAAGTCCTCGACCGTACCATGGTTCCCATCCAGGGCTAATTCAACACCGTCGCTCCTGTGCCTGTGGTCGATTTGTTGTCGTCGTCCTCTAGCTGGAACTACGGATGTTGGTTTCATCTAAGTTTTTGATGAGGTAGGCCTAAGTGAGTGGGTTCAGCGCTGTTGCCGGACATCAATCGGACTTGTTTCCTAAGGTCGGAGTCGGAGTCGGACTGAGGTGGGCCTTCCATCTAGAGGTTTCGGGGTATTTTTGTGGTCCTTCCTGGCCTATCTCTGCTTAGATTCGGGGTGTTTTCGTGGGGGTTTTGTTGGGGACTGAATGGGGGGGGGGTTGTTTGAGGTGGGTGAAGAGGTTCTTGAATTCTAACATGTTTGGGGGTAGGGTAGGTCAGGTCTTTGGGGATGAGACATTACGTTTGGAGTGTGGAATGGTGCTGGGGAAGCTTGGGGGAGAATAACAGATGTAAGCTCAAGACAACTACGTTAGAATCTATGAGATAGGCTGCATATAATGAGACTAGGATCATGGGTTTGTACAAGTAAAAGCATTATGCTTGGATCCTCGTCCGGGGACTCAATGCAAGTGATGCATGCACTGTACTGTGCAGTACCTCGCTTCTGTTGACGTTGGGCTTGGAGACATACAAGCATGACAAGGTTGGTCGGGGTTTAAGGATCCCATCATCCCCCCACGTCCGCGTAGGTGATTCGGTTCATAGCTGCAGGTACTGTACTGTACCTCTGTGCTTTCACGGATACAAAGAATGGTGGGTTACTTCGTGTGATGGACTGTATGTGTGCTGAGTATAACTAGTGCTTGATGTCTGATTTCATGCTGACATGGATTTGTGCAGAATTCTCTCGAACAATGGATGCAAAGATGCTCGATTGTGACAATTTACATCCCTCCGTGAAAGAGCTGGCAGCGAGGAATGTATCTGCTTTGGCTGCAGGACGGGGAGTCTCGGTAGAGCCAGCCAGCCAGCCAGCCAGCCAGCCTTCTAGCAGTACGCCCAGAATTGTGCAAGTTACTGCTCTGAAGCACATCTCGAGTTTTCGGCAAGCTAGGATCACTTCCTCCGATTGTCTCGATAGAGCTGCTTGTGGGACGGAGGGCCACTGCGATGCGGCTATGAGCTGAGCAGCATGTGCGTCACAGCCCCTCATCATCAGTGACACATTCCCGGGTCTGACATGTAGACCTTCAATTGCCTGGTTCATTGGCATCCAGACCCCGTCAGTTCCTCATACCCAGAAAACACAAGCGAAGCAGGCCAGTGGTGCAGGCCATCGAACCAGTCTATCTGCAGATCAATTGTTGCTCCATCGAGCGCTGAAAACTCTCAACCTTCAACCTGGTGCCAGCAATCCGAGACTCGAGCCCAGCGCATGACCTCCATTGTTGCAAGGCCATAGGTCGGATGAGCTGCAACACACTCCTCTCATGCAGTCAACTCCCGGGAACAACGCAGCAATAATGTTGTGCAACATCCACATCCTCCAAAAGAACTCCGCACGACTTTGAGATTCTGCCACCGCCCGGGGCATGGGGGCCGCCCCCCCCTCCCTCCCGCCCCCCCGCGGAAAAATGAAGGGTCAATCATAATAAAGCCGCCCGCCTTCGCTCCTCCTCCGCGACCCCTCATCTTTTCCTTCAGCTTTCCCCCCCTTATCGTCCTCAGTGCAGTTACCCTTCACAATGAGCGCCACGACAACTGTCACCGAGACGCCAAGAATCACGGCGGAGAATGTCGCGACTCTCTTCCCCGAGGTCGACACGTCGCTCGCTCGTGAGGTGCTCCCGACTGCGACCAGTGCTGCCGCCGCTGGGTCCAGCGACGATCTGGCCGGCTACGACGAGGAACAAGTTCGTCTGATGGATGAGGTGTGCATTGTGCTGGATGAGGACGACAAGCCTATTGGTAGTGCCAGCAAGAAGGCCTGTAAGTTTTTGCCCCCAGAGCTTCAGTATTAGAGGGGGGGGACAACAGCGGTGGCGTTTGCCGCTGATTTCCTTGTTTTTCCCTCATTTAAAGACCTGTGCATGGCCTACGTCTTATTTCAGATCGCTGACAATGTAATGCTCGCATCAACCAGGCCATCTGATGACGAACATCGACCGCGGCCTCCTGCACCGCGCCTTCTCGGTCTTCCTCTTCGACTCCAACAACCGCCTGCTCCTGCAACAGCGCGCCACCGAGAAGATCACATTCCCGGACATGTGGACGAACACCTGCTGCTCACACCCGCTGGGCATCCCCGGCGAGACGGGCTCGGAGCTGGACGCGGCGATTCTTGGTGTCAAGCGTGCGGCGCAGCGCAAGTTGGATCAGGAGCTGGGCATCAAAGCGGAGCAGGTGCCGTTGGACAAGTTCGAGTTCTTCACCCGCATCCACTACAAGGCGCCCAGCGATGGCAAGTGGGGCGAGCATGAGAGTACGTTCCCCTTTATTTTTTTGTGTTGTGGCACGAAAGCTTACAAGACCGCCGAAACACTAGTCGACTACATCCTCTTCATCCAAGCCGACGTCGACCTGAACATCAACCCTAACGAGATCCGCGACACCTGCTATGTCTCGGCCGAGGAGTTGAAGCAGATGTTCGAGAAGCCCGGCCTCAAGTTCACGCCCTGGTTCAAGCTGATCTGCAACTCGATGCTGTTCGAGTGGTGGAGCCACCTCGGCTCGGCGTCGTTGGAGGCCTACAAGAATGAGAGGGGGATTCGTCGCATGTAGGGAGTGGCGGAGGTTCTGGTTGATTTAGTTTGCTCTTATACATATCTTAATATCCCTGTTTCATTGCTGCTGTGCTCATCATGGGCGAAAACCTTGACTTGATTTCTTCAATGTGTCTCATTTATTCCCCTTTCTTCATAACTACATGGCTAGCGTATCGATGCTCGAATTCGATCCTCAAATTTCAAACCAGTCACAGATATATGATCCTGATGCTTCAGAATGACATAATATCAAAGGGCTCGCTTGTGTCGTACATATCATAAGTCGGTTAGTCTTTGCCCTTGACCTACACCTATACTCCTCCCTCTGGGCTGCGCACTTGAGATTGTGCATAATTTAGAACACCCACAACCTCACCCCTCCACCCCCCCTCCCAAAATTCCCCTCAAACCATTCCTGATAAAATCACCGGGAAGTCTTCGCATCCGTCGCCAAAAACAACACGCAACAGCCCAAGATCACCGTCCCGACCACCGTAAACATGACCTGGGTCTTCCACCCGCTCTGCACCAGCGCCGCCTGCTGGCTGTACTTGCGGACCGTGCGGATATAGTTCGCGAATCCCGTCACTAAACATGTCAAACTCAGCAGCCAGAACACGATCCCCAGCGGCAGCGCCATGCGCCGCTCCAGCCCCGTCGGCGGCGTCTGGAAGTGGAAGGAGATGATGATCGCGATCGCCACGACGCCCAGGTACATGGCCAGGCGCAGCCAAGAGAGGAAGGTGCGCTCGTTGGCGCAGTGGTCGCGCGCGTCCGAGGTCTGGTTCTCGAAGAGGAGGGCGCCGCAGTAGGGTTTTGCGAGGAAGATGTGGCGGTCGTTAGGGAGGGGACTTTTTTGTGGGAGGGTTAGTTGAAGTTGGGGGTTTCCGGAGGCCGGGGGACTGACTTGTTGGCGGAGATGGGGGTTGCGTTGGCGGGGTTGATTAGGGGGTTGTAGGGGGGTTTGGGGGGGTGTTGTTGGGTTGTTGCTGTTGCTGTGGTTGTCATTGTTGCCTTGTGTGTATTTATGTGTATGTGTGTATGTGTGTATGTTTGTGTGTGTTGGTAGGTGAGGCGGTTTGTGCTTGTTGTATGGTATAGCAATGTGTAACTGTATCTGTGCTGCTTCACGTCTGGATTGAATAATCACAGCTGGATTCCCAGAACTGCGCAGGCCAACTACTTGCGGCCTTGACGTGCTTCGGCTGGGCGATGCTCATGGCTAAGACGTCGGACTCTGGGTTTTCGCTTTGAGGATTTGAAAAGTGCTGGAAAAAGGGTCCGGTGACAGCCAAGGCACTGTACTAGTGATGGCTAGTGATGCATCTCAGCACGTGATTCAATGCTCGGCGCAACCCTGGGCAGAATGATGTCATGGCGGGTTGTCTTGCGAACTCGGTGTCGCACCTGTCTAAATGCTTATCACTGAGGTTCTCAGAAGGTGCTGGAGGAATCCTTCCTCTATTTGACACCTGATCGACCCCGGTCCTCAGTGTGTCATGTTGAAGCTTCTGTGGATACTGTAAGAGTATCGCCGATCTCGCCCACCCCTCTCCCTCGGCTGGACCATCTTCTTTGGGATCCCGCCCAATTGCATGGGCTGATGGCTGGTACGCACGGGTTAGTCATCCTCCTATCAGTCAATGCGGGGGCTAATCAATCCTGACTACTCCGTTCCTGGTAATCAGAGGGAGAAGACGAACTGGGACCTCTGGAAACATTCACTGACATCAACTGTGTTCCCATGAATTGCACAATTGCACAATTGCACCTTCATCCACTCATAACAAGACGGGGTGAATGATCACCTCCGATTGAATATCCCCATCAAAAAGGAAGCAATGGGAATGAAAGGACACGAGGTGAGTCACGTCGAGGGAAGCTGGAGATGCCAAAGATAAGGTAAGGTAAGAGACCCGCAAGCAAGCCACCCAGACTTTGCACCTTGGCCCAGTCGCTGACGCCGCAAATTTTGCTGCTCGCTGCTAGACCTTCCGAAGTTGTCCAATCGCTGGAGACGATAAAAGCGTCGCCCCCATCCAACTATCCGAGTCGTTCAGTCGCTCTTCACTCTTAAAACAATTCCCCTCCTTGCTTGATTCCAGTGCCTTATTCCCTCCGGAAGTATTTTGCTGCGGCTTTCGGCAAACCATGCAGCATTGCTCCTTACCTTAGTTTCCATCTATAAACCTCCAACTCTCCCCCCTCCGCAGCTCCCGCCGAACTCTTATCCGAGGAATCATGACTCCGCGCGATTCCGATTTTCACTCCCCCAGAATGTCGGATGAGCACCACTACCTATCTCGCTCGCCGCTCGCGCGGTCCGCAATTGCGCGCGACCTGGAGGACTACGCCGACGACGAAGGCTCCATGCTCACAACCGACGATGACGATGATGCCTCGGAGACCTCAACCATTCGCGCAATCGGCAGTCAGCCCGGCACCCGAGCCCATTCCCTGGCTGGCTCGTACCAACGGCCCAGCTACTTCACCACCGTCTCGCGCGCCACTGTCGTTCCCTATCGCCCGGAGCAGGAGGGCCTGACCCGCCGCGAACGCGATCAGGCCATCGAGGACGAGCGGAATCTCCTCACGGACAACCATTTCATCGAGCCGTCACGCAAGAAGTCCCGTCGCTCGGCTTCGGAGTCTGCGCCGTCCACGGAAGAGACCGCGCTCCTGGGTGGGGAGGGATCTTCGCGGGCGCCGCAGTACGATTCCGTGGACTCCGAAGAGATCGACCGGAAGTGGGAGGAGGCCGTCACCGCGGGGCTCATCCAGACAACGTGGAAGCGCGAAGCTCAGGTCATTGGCAAGAATGCGGCGCCCTTGGTTTTCACCTTCTTGCTTCAATACTCCCTGACGGTGGCTAGTATTTTCACCCTCGGGCACTTGGGGAAGAAGGAGCTGGGCGCTGTCAGTCTGGCGAGTATGAGCGCCAATATCACGGGTTATGCTAGTAAGTCTCGAATGCAGGCCGGTTGTATTCGCTTTTTCAAAGCCCTAATTTGATTTGCCGTGTACAGTTTACCAGGGATTGGCTACCAGTCTCGATACCCTCTGCGCCCAAGCTTACGGCTCTGGAAAGAAGAAGTTGGTGGGCTTGCAGATGCAGAAGATGGTCTTCTTCCTGTGGACCATCTCCATTCCTATCGTCATTCTCTGGTTTTTCGCGGACAAGGTCCTGGTCAGGATTGTGCCGGAGAGGGAAGTGGCTGAGCTTGCTGGGTTGTATCTGAAGGTGGTCGCACTGGGTGCGCCGGGATATGCCTGTTTTGAGAGCGGGAAGCGGTTCGTGCAGGCGCAGGGTCTGTTCTCTGCTTCTCTCTACGTCCTCCTGGTCTGCGCTCCTCTCAATGCAGTGATGAACTACGTGTTCGTCTGGCAGTTCGGGTGGGGCTTTGTTGGAGCCCCCATCGCCGTGGCCATCACGGATAACCTGATGCCGCTCTTCCTGTTTCTGTACGTGTACTTTGTTGCGGGATCCGAATGCTGGAACGGTGTAACCAGAAGGGCGCTGCGCAACTGGGGTCCCATGATCAAGCTCGCTCTTCCCGGTCTCCTGATGGTCGAGGCTGAGTGTCTGGCCTTCGAGGTCCTCACGCTGGCTTCTTCGTATCTCGGAACCACCCCCTTGGCCGCACAGTCCATCCTGTCGACCATCTCCAGCATCACCTTCCAGATCCCCTTCCCTGTCTCCATCTCTGGAAGCACCCGTGTGGCGAACTTGATTGGCGCTACCCTTGTCAACGCCGCCAAAACCTCTGCCAAGGTCACCATGGTCGGTGCCGTGATCGTCGGACTTCTCAATATGCTCCTCCTCTCCTCGCTGCGCTACTACATCCCTCGCCTGTTCACGTCGGAGGACGAGGTCATCGAATTGGTTGCGCAGGTGCTGCCTCTCTGCGCGGCGTTCCAGCTCTTCGACGCCCTCGCAGCCAACTGCAATGGTATCCTCCGAGGTATCGGGCGGCAGGAGATCGGCGGGTACGTGCAACTCTTCTGCTACTATGCCATCGCCATGCCCATCAGTTTCGGGACCACCTTTGCTCTGGACTGGGGTCTCTTCGGACTGTGGAGTGGCGTGGCCCTTGCCCTGATGCTCGTCTCCATCATTGAGGGGTTCTTCCTCACGCAGACCAACTGGAACCGCTCCGTGGAGGATGCCCTAAAGCGGAACTCCATGAATTGAATTTATTGTTCCCTGTTCCCGACGAATGATGACAGCCATGATGTTTTGATGATTTTTAGTTGTGGGTTTACTTGCTATTACCTAGCTTTCCCTTTGGATGGGTGCGGTATATAAGTACTGTACATATATGGGAGGTGGCATCGTTTTTTCAAAAGTTTCGACCAACTCACGACGACCCTTTGCAAGCGGACTGAGATTGTGGTGTGTATATGTTGTATTTGCTAGATGTGTTGGATTAGTTCTGATCGTACCAAGGCCCTCAATCGGCCAATATCGTTTTGTCAATACAGTATGATGACCCAATCAATCCACCCGGGGCAATGTAAATCATTCATCAAAGGAACCGATTCTTTTTCATATTCATCCATAACGCGCAAATCGTACATGCAAACAAAAAAAAACCCCCAGACCACAAGGAGCCTAATACTCCAGAATCGCCCAGGTCTGCTCATCCACCGTCGAGAAGATCACCCCGGCCGTCAACAGCTCATCGCCGGCCCTAGCGACATCGGGCATGGGCAGACTCAACTTAGCAGCGATCAGCTGCGCATGCAAACCCTCGTTACTCTGCGGCTCGGTCCTGAGCAGGTTATACACGCGTCTGGCCACGGGACTCATCGCTGGCAACGCCCGCCCACCATTATTATAATCATCCACTCCACCCATCGACGCATCTGCCCCAGCTCCAGCCCCAGCCCCAGCCTCCGCACCCGCACCCCCCTGCCCCGAAGCACTATTCACCGCCGGCCCCTTGGTGAAAAACAAATGCACCGCCGCGGCCTCCAGCAGATGCACATGCACCTCATTGATATCCTTGACCGCGCGCACGCAATGCGCGCCGACGAACCGCTTATTCCCGAACGACTTCAGCTTCCCGAACACCTTGGCGTAGCCGTTGACCTCGGGCTGGGATTTGCTTCCGGAAGTCTTGGCGCCGTGCTCGTCCGTCTCCATGCTGTCGCCCCCCGCGGACGACGAGTCGATCCACTGCTTCACTTCGATCTCGCCGGTGCCATCGTCGATCTTGTACGTCACGTTCGTGCTCTGCGAGCTGATGCCCCGGACCTGGCCGATAAAGCACACGCTCGCCGCTTCGGCGGAGTCGATCTGGTAGCCGGCTTCCGGGTAGGGTTGGATTGCGTCGAGAGCTTGTTTGATGGTTATGGGGCGGAGGGTGGCGTTGTTGTAGTCGCCCTATCCTGGGGATTAGCAATGGGTGGGCGTTTGGGTGCTGATCGCAGGAAGAAGGAGGCTTGTAGGCTTTACCTTTCCGCCCGAGGGACTGTTGTTCATCTCGCCGGGCATGAAGCCTCCACCTCCTCCTCCTCCGCCACCTCCGCTACCTCCGTAGCTGGTGTTGTAGTTGTTGTAGCCGCTGTCTGAAGATTTCAAGGAAAACTGTTAGCGGGGTGCCGGCCGCCGCGAGGGGGGGACTGCTGGGAAAGAGAAGCTGGGGAATGTGGTAGAGGCGGAAGAGTGGTGGGTGGGTGCAGAAGGCTAACAGGTCGTAGATGTGAGCTTACCCATTATATAGTGTGTTTCTTGGGGGTATCTCAAAAATCTGGAAGTTGGATGGGTAAACTTATTCACTGCACTGGATGATGGAAGTGTTCATTGCATTTTACCGCTTCGGGACGTGTTGGAGGACGCGTCGCGGCGGGAGTTCGGCTGGGTTTGCATTGTTTGATTGGTTTGTCGGGCAGCAATTCGATCCCGCTTGCTTCACCGCCTTGACATTTTCCCCGGCCTAGACAGAAAAAAAAAATGTTCGAGGTCGACAAAGCTGAGGCCAAACCGCATACAAGCGCGGTGACAGACGAAAAAAATGGCCCCTCGCGCTGCTTCCCCCGCTCTGTCGGAGAATGAATTCGACATCACCAATGCGCTTTTCCAGCATGATAGCGATTCCGAGATCGAGCAAGTCCCGCACAAGAAGGCCAAGCGCCAACCCCCGAAGGCGGCCGCGCCGCAGCAACTGGATTTCCTAGGCGGCACCCACGACGACAACGACGACGGCGAAGATGACGAGGCGTTCATTGCAGAGAGACAGGCGTCGGCCAACCGAAAGGGCTCGAATCTCAAGGGCCGCACGGTCAAGAAGGGTGGTGGTTTCCAGGCGATGGGACTGAATGCGAACCTGCTGAAGGCGATCACCCGGAAGGGTTTCTCGGTGCCGACGCCCATCCAGCGCAAGACGATCCCCGTCATCATGGACGACCAGGATGTGGTGGGCATGGCGCGCACGGGTTCCGGCAAGACGGCCGCCTTCGTCATTCCCATGATCGAGAAGCTCAAGAGCCACAGCACCATGGTCGGCTCCCGCGCGCTGATCATGTCGCCCTCGCGTGAGCTGGCGCTGCAGACCCTGAAGGTCGTCAAGGAGCTCGGCAAGGGCACCGACCTCAAGTCCGTGCTGCTGGTCGGCGGTGACAGCCTCGAGGAGCAGTTCTCCATGATGGCCGGCAACCCGGACATCGTCATCGCCACCCCCGGTCGCTTCCTGCACCTGAAGGTCGAGATGAACCTGGACATGTCGAGTATCCGCTACGTGGTCTTCGACGAGGCCGATCGCCTCTTCGAGATGGGTTTCGCCGCTCAGCTGACCGAGATTCTGCACGGCCTGCCCCAGAACCGCCAGACCCTGCTGTTCTCCGCCACCCTGCCCAAGTCGCTCGTCGAGTTCGCCCGCGCCGGTCTGCAGGACCCGACGCTCATCCGTCTGGACACCGAGAGCAAGATCTCGCCGGATCTGCAGAATGTGTTCTTCTCCGTCAAGTCCGGCGACAAGGAGGGCGCGCTGCTCTACATCCTCCACGAGGTGATCAAGATGCCCACGGGCCCCACCGAGGCGGCCCGGCGCCAGAAGGAGGACGAGAACAAGCCCTTCAAGGACCGCAAGCGCAAGCGATCGGCGATGGATAAAGCCATCAACACGAGAGAATCCCCCACGAAACACTCCACCATCGTCTTCGCCGCCACGAAACACCACGTCGACTTCCTGTACTCGCTCCTCTGCGAGGCCGGCTTCGCCACCTCCTACGTCTACGGTTCCCTCGACCAGACCGCCCGTAAGATCCAGGTCCAGAACTTCCGGTCGGGCATCTCGAATATCCTCGTCGTGACCGACGTTGCCGCCCGCGGTATCGATATCCCCATTCTCGCCAACGTCATCAACTACGACTTCCCCTCGCAGGCCAAGATCTTCGTCCACCGCGTCGGTCGTACCGCCCGTGCCGGCCGGACCGGTTGGAGTTACAGTCTGGTCCGGGACCAGGACGCGCCCTACCTGCTGGACCTGCAGCTCTTCCTTGGGCGGCGGCTCGTGCTGGGCCGCGAGTTCGGGGATCAGGTCAACTACGCCGAGGACGTGGTCGTCGGCAGCCTGCCCCGGGACGGCCTGTCGCAGAATTGCGAGTGGGCCGCCAAGGTGGTCGAGGACTCCACCGACATCGCCAACCAGCGCGCGGTCGCCGCCAAGGGTGAGAAGCTGTACATGCGCACGCGCAACGCCGCCGCCCTCGAGAGCGCCAAGCGCGCCAAGCAGGTGGTCGCCTCGGACAACTGGGCAGCCACCCACCCGCTGTTCAGCGACGAGACCTCGCAGCTGGAAGCCGAGCGCGAGAAGATGCTGGCCCGCATCGGCGGCTACCGGCCCACGGAGACGATCTTCGAGGTGAACAACCGCCGCAGCGGCAAGCCCGAGAACGAGGAGGCCCTCAGCACCATCCGCCGCGTGCGCACGACGCTCGACTCGAAGAAGAAGCGCCAGGCGCAAGCCGAAGAGCAGTCCGAGTTCGCCGAGGACGCCGTCACCGGCGGCGGCGCCGCCGCGGGTGATGACGGCAGCGACAACGACGAGGCCGTCGGCAACGATGCCTTCGACGACGAAGACAATGAAGCCACCGGCATCCCCGACAACATGTCCATGGCCTCGGAATCCGACCTCGAAGTCACCTTCTCCGCTTACGGCAGCAACAAAGACAACAACAACAACAAGGACAAAGCCTCCGGTGGGGCTAACTCCTTCCAGAACCCAGACTACTTCATGTCCTACACGCCCACCAACATCAACCTGGCCGAGGACCGCGCGTACGGCGTGCACTCGGGCACGAACGCCAACTTCGCGCAGGCGTCGCGCGACGCCGCCATGGACCTGCTGGGTGACGAGGGCAGCCGCGGGTTCGGCGAGCCCCGCACCCTGATGCGCTGGGACAAGCGCCACAAGAAGTACGTCGCCCGCCAGAACGACGAGGACGGCTCCAAGGGCACCCGCCTCGTGCGCGGCGAGAGCGGCGCCAAGATCGCCGCCTCCTTCCGCAGCGGCCGCTTCGACGCCTGGAAGAAGGGCAAGCGCCTCGGCCGCATGCCCCGCGTCGGCGAGGCCGAGACCCCCGGTATGTCGGCGGATCTGGATGCCGCGGGCCGTCATGGCGGCGGCAAGCGGTTCCGGCATCGCCAGGAGCGCGCGCCCAAGCGCGCCGACCCCCTGCGCGGCGACTACGAGAAGATGAAGAAGAAGAATGACGCCGCTAAGGAGCGCCAGTTCAGTAAGTTTGGGGGTGCTGCTGCCGGCGGGAAGAGTGAGATTCGGGGTACGGATGATATTCGCATCGCGCGGAAGTTGAAGCAGAAGCGTATGGAGAAGAATGCGAGGCCGTCGAGGAAGAGGTAGAGTTTCAGCTTGGCTTGGCTTGGCTTGCTTGTGGGCTATGGGGGTTTTTTTTCTTTTTGCTACTGCATATACCATTTCGTTCGGGACGGTTTATCATAAAAATTCTGTTTTCTTTCTGTTCTCTGATTGTAGATACCTTACTTCGATGATACGAGTGGGAATATGATATCATGTTCGCATTATATAATTATCGTCGCGCTGGCTATAGCAATTTGTTCAGCGCGCACGGACAGACGCCTGTCCACATCATGGCAGGCTTAGTATACCATCCCCATCAGAGAGCAGGGAGGCATGCCTTCTCGCTCGAAATCATCCTCCTCGGCTGTGCACGTTGCGTACTGCGGCTGCATCCCGATGCCGGCGCAGGGGAGCATGCCTTCCTTCTCCTCCTCGTCGTCATCGTCGTCATCCTCGACCTCTGCGGTAGAGGTCACGTGCTCAGTATGTGTGCCGAAAGCACCGCACGGGAGAATGCCCTCTCTCATATCGTCGTCGACATCAGAGTCTTCGACCTCTGTGGTAGAGGGTGCATGCTGCGTGTGGGCCCCAAAAGCTCCGCACGGGAGAATACCCTCTCTCATATCGTCGTCGACATCAGAGTCTTCGACCTCTGTGGTAGAGGGTGCATGCTGCGTGTGGGCCCTGAAAGCTCCGCACGGGAGGAATCCCTCCTTCTCGTCGTCGCTCTCACTCTCACTTTCAACCACTGTCCCCTTGGAGGGAAGGTGCTCCGAATGAAGCCCGGTCACAGTGCAGGGCAGCATGCCTTCTCTTTCATCGTCGTCGTCGTCGTCATCGTTCTCGTGAACCTCGGCTGTTGTGGTAGGCTTCAGTGATATGTGCTGCGCGTGACCGCCGAAAGCACCGCACGGGAGAATGCCCTCCCTCTCCTCGTCATCGGTGCGGTGCACCTGGCGAGGTGTGGATACTCTCTGCAGCACAAATCCAGCAGCGCACGGCAGGATGCCTTCTCTCTCCTCGTCATCATCATGCTCAGCTTGATCCATCCTCACCGCAGCCTCAACAGCCACAGCTTGAACAGATACATCCGCCCCCGGATCCTCCTTGACCCCAACCGAACACCCCTCAATCTCCTCCCACTCACTCTCCCCATCCAACAACCCCTCCTCTTCTTCTTCAGATCGAATCGCCTCCGCGTCCCGCACCAACCCCTCCCGCACAGCAAGAACCCTTCTCCATGCCGCCCTCATCTCCATCCTCCCCACCCAGGCCGCGACAAACGGATACGCCCTCGGCTCCAACCCCAGGGCCCCGTCCGAAGAAGCTAGACTGTGAAGACCCGGTAAAAACGCCAAATCGACATGGCTACAGCGCTCGCCCACGAGCCAGGACTTGGTCGTCAGGGCGGTGTTCAGTGTTGCTAAGACGGTGTGGGTTTGGGAGTGGGCGCTGGAGCTCAGCGTCGTCTGCAGATGCAGCCATTGGTTTAACAGGTGTTTCTCTGTGGTGGTAGAGGCATGGCTTAGGAGATTCGTGCGGTCGTAGTGATCGACGAGGTATTGGATGATCGGGTTGGCGTGGAAGAGGGTGGTTTGCGTGTTGGGGTCTGTGAGGGCTATTTTGGGGGTGATTCGTTAGCTATTTGGGTGTGGGTGGGGACTTTGGGGAGGAGTTTTGGCGGGGTGGGTAATCTGGGGTAGGTAGGGTAGGACTGCCGCGGGTTACTTACTTGGGAGCTCTTGGGCCGATGGGATGATACTTGTTGAGCGATGGGACGGATTCTGGTGGGTGTGGACTGTATATGGGATTGCGAGTTCCTCGGCGATGGTGACTATCTACTTTCTATTAGATTCGAAGGGCGGACAGGGTGCATTGAGGAGGGGAGGGGAATAGGTGCGTACACTCCATGCGTTGGGGTCGGTTACTATCCGTCTCTCCGTTAGTTCTGTAGATCTCTCGTGGAGTATAGCCCGAAGGGCGGGGGGAGTAACCCACCGAGGAACCGGATCTCCAGAGGTTGGACCATTGTGTCTTGTCTGTTGTGAATTTAAGCTGTGGTGTGTGAATTCTCGAAGAAGAGAGGCTGAGAACCCGGGGGATGACTGGTTAATATAGGTAGCTAAGCTGGGTGAAGGAATGCATGCTCAGCTGCATCCGGTCGGATTAGTTGGTAGTCATTGGCGGGTCCCCAGTGAGGCTGAGGCCTAGCGCTCACTCAGCTGACTGACAGTAGAGACAATCGTAAAGATAAGTCTACCGTCTAGTTTGCTTGGCAATGGTTATTTGCTCCTGGTGGCGAGTCTCCCCTGGCTGGCGTGCAGGTCAGGCCACAGGGATCGTGTCTGGTGCTTTTGTCGTGGATCGACCTACCTCGTGGGATGCTTTGTAGTGGGTCGGGATACCACCGGTAAGTTGTAGTATATCTGGGAGGGAAGGTGGCCAGGTCGGCGGGTGGGGTGTTCAGCTGCCATCTCAAACAGAATCATGGGTAGCCGAGGGGCGCAGCGCAGCTGGTAGCTGGTAGCTGATCGCTGGTTTTCTTTGAGGTCGAGAAATTGATACGAGTTCGTCGAGTCTCGGCCATTTGAGCCGAGGTTCTCCGCAGATTGGCAAATATAGTTCTTCATCGATTGGCGGCGACCATGGTTGACTCAAAGTAAATCCAGAGAGTGCTGTAAAATGATGATTAAGATAGTGATCTAGGCCCATGCACGTCTGAGAAGATTCGATAAGAGGTTGCAGCGTCGCACGTGCACCTAGCGATGCCTTCTGAACAAGGCGGTTGCGATTGATAGATTCACCAAGGTATCATTTGATGCTGGAGAAAATGGATGATGTACTTTCTAGAAGCTTGGCCTAGTTGATATTGTATTACTAATGACCCTCGTACATCAATTGGCCGGATGGTGTAGTTGGTTATCACGTATCGTTAACACCGATAAGGTCCTGGGATCGAGCCCCAGTCTGGTCATTACTTTTTGCTCTTTTTGTGCTTCGGCCCCTTCAGAGAATCTCCTACGACAAGCTTGTGAGCAGTTGTTGTGACGTGATTACTGCAATGATTGATCTTTCGCATTGTATCTTCCTACGCGTCGCAGCAATCGCTGACGAAATGGCACCTCAAGGATCGTAGAAAGTCGTCACAGCAGCTTGATGACAGCAAACCTTACAGTTCATTTAGCGCACTGCGCAGGCAGCAATGACCCTGTTACAGTAAGAATTGCCACTAGAATCAGAGCAGCACGCCTCATCTCACATAAGGTAGCCACGATATCAGCCTCTATACAGATCGATACCGTACGCCAACCCTGTGTTTTGCAAATACCGCTTCACAGGTCCGTGTTGGCAAGCAAAGGCAAGACAAGGTCGGCTCCTGATCCAAGACCCAGGCCAATTGCATGCATCCGAGAAGATGCATGCTACCAAGTAAAAGAGACGGCCTCGACACGGTAGGAGAATCGACCTCGTTGTCATCCCCTCCACCAGAGTCATCGCCGATGAAGTCACCCGGTGGTCCTGCGGGCCCAAGAAACTCTCCATGGTACCACAACAGATGATCTACCGTGACATTTATCGCGGTACTGTAGGCTGCCCGACTGTACACACCGCGCATGGTCGGCAGGTCAGAGTTCGCACCGAGTCACCAGCAACAGCAAGGGCGTAGCCAGCCGTCAGTATGCGCCGGAGCGCCTCGGAGTCGAGAGTCCTTGCTTAGGATCCTGCTGACCACCGACATTCTTTGTCCCATAGGATCCGTAGGGAGACTGAAGCAAACGTACGCAGGAAATCCGAAAACACCGAGGACTGGCACGGTGCCTGCAATGCCCCGTGGACGAGCACCTCCAAGTCACTGGTTTACATCAGGGACTCTAAGAGTGTTCAAGCTGCTCGTCCTCCGGTGCGCGTTCTCTCATTGAAGCGCCATGTTGAAGCGTAATCACAAGCCGTTGCCTCGATAGCATAGGCAGGGAACGAGAAAGCTCCTCACTCTCCAGCATGCACATCCACTAGGAAGGTAGCACCGCATTGCCAAGTCCGGCTGCAATGAATACTAGGCAAAAGTTAGTGCTGGATCCAAGCTTACCCTCCACAGAACAGACGATCCTGCACTGATCACCGCTGCATACCGAAACAATGCCCGTGTAAATTCAGCCGGCGGGCCACCCAGTCAGATGAGTTGCAACAGAGAAAGTTTCTGCGCGCACCAATTTATACTGTGCCTTGGATGCAGGCGTCGTTGCAGTTGCATCGGCAACAAATCGGTAGGATATACGGAAACGATAGCACTGCGACTTTCTGAAGCTTCAGCCTATAGTCCCAACTTGAGCAGCGTGCATCGGTCCCAGAATATCATTTCTTAGATCTTGTCTTGAGCAGCCGAATGGGCTGACGGATTGGGAAGATCACTGTAAGCAACGACGAATCTGACACCACCTTTTTCCGTAGATAAGAAACGCCCCGTCAGGATCATGGTAACATTTATTCCTGTGAGACCATGCAAATTCGTAGATAAATAATTTTCTCCATGGTCAATTATTGTACGGCCTGTCTTCCATATTCGGAATGATCATATTATGGGCTTCTTCATACTCGGACCGTCCCGGAGTAGGGTTACGGTTCCTTTTTCACCGGGTCTTAGAGGAGACGGAAAAAGAACGGTGAATCGAGGAGGAAATCATAGAAGCCGCTTGAGTTTCTGTGAAGAGACTTGTCACATCCTCACCGACTCTCTACCAAGCGAAATGCCTTTCCCGGGCTCAGATGCCCCATGCAGATGACTGGTCATTCCGTAGTGCAGGTTGCAGACCGCAGACTTAACGTTCGTCATACAGTGGCTGCTGATGCATTTAGCACTCCCTGCAGACCGGTCCAACCAACGACAATACCATTGATGCAGTGATAGTGCATGGGTCCCAAGTCGGCGCGGATTAAGTGACCTTTCCTAACTTGCAAAGGCAAAGGTGAACCGCGCCCCTAGCACTGATACTGATCCATTAACCAGTTCACAGGTTCAATTGAATGTTGCTGGAATGTCAGCGCTCAATGGGGGCAGTACAGTAAGTGCGCTTGCCCACAAGTCACCTTATGTGTATAAGACGCTATCGAGGAAGCAAGTGTTGCCCCTTGGTCAAGCCTGCGAGCAGCAGGACATTGCCAAGGGACACTTGGAGTCACCCGTAGACCACGGTTGTAAGATATGCGAGCGCCCAAAGACCGTTGATTTGTGGCGTCGGGGATTACCCAATGCCTATTGGTTCCTGATTTCCGAAGCACCGGGAGACATCGTTAAACGAAATCGACCGGTGCAGAACGGGAATTTTCTGGATAGCAGTAGCTCTGCGTATCTTTCCCCCCCAAGCGACCTCTTTCTGGGCTCCCTCGCAAAGGGCGCTTCCAGGCATAACACTGCCCAGACACTCATCACGTACCTTGGCGCGAAAAGTATCATGGGGCATGGATTAGCTGCTGAGGCCCGTGGCAGGGTACCGTGTTATAACTTAAATGCGGCTCAATGTATACATCCTAGGCCACCGTCTTCAGATCGTGGGATAATGAGCTTCCTAGCCTTCGTGACCTTATAGCGATATGACTGAACTCCGCATCTGGGTACACATGCTCCGAGGACAACTGTCGCTTTGAATGCCCAGGCTCATGCCACTATGTTTATTTATGCGAGAGCCACACTGGGTAAAGCCTCAAGTCGGGCACGGTAGACGGATGTTCATGATGTGGCTACCAACGACGTGTTAAGCGACTTGACCACCGAAAATGCCTCCGTGTGGAAAGATGCATCGTGAAGAGAGTCTACCAGGGAGGTCGGCACTACCGAGAGCCATGATGGCATGGCAATAAAGCAGTCTAGACGCAAAAGCCTCCGGCTGCACCGTTAATGTGGCTATCGGACGTCTACCGTGCACAGTGCCCTCGTGTCGATATCACTAGCCTGGACTGTCTCGGAAGACCCTTTCTCGGAAAATTTACTTGATATCGGGTTGTAGCCGGAATATGCACTAGGAGAAGCTGTAGGATCACGGATGTGCTACCATATTGGTCTCCTGGAGCGATGACCACCCGCAGTTTTCTCCTTTGTTGACGTGATCCTCGTTAGGCTTCCGGTTCTCTTTCCGAGTACCGTTCCATGCGATCCGATCTGCCATACGGGATATTGAGGAACAAGGGAGCTGGCGATGGACTATTAATCGCGGTAAAGCATGGTCACACCGCGAGGACAGTAAAGCACGGAGCTTAGATATTGCGTGACCGTCGGTCGAACGATTTGGAACGAAGAAGGATCACCTCGATACTCGGGCATATCCAGGATGCGGTATAGCATCGGTCTTATTATTAGAGTCGAGTTAGTTCGCAGTGCGGCGTCAGTAGTCCAAGCGATAGTCTGTTTGAGCCTCGAACCTGAATGGGGTTGACAAATACCGCCGCCCGCGGCCTGCCAATCGTTTCCCTGTGAGGGGCGCTGCGTGTTTCCCAAAACGGTTCATCGTTCTCCTGACCGCGCTAGACTATTTTGGGCAAAAGGCTGATCGACTCAATTGATTTAGAGTCTTAGACTCACAGGGGGACTCGGGACTAAACTGAACGAACTGCACCGCAATGTACTGTAGTTCCCAGTTCCATCCATTTGCATTTCCATCCTTCCCTTTCCATTGTTGATTCTCTTCTTCCCGTGCAGAGGAGCATGATGTGCCCCTTTTCAGACGCTTAGACGGTACACCAATGGTATGTACAGTATGTACTCCGTACAGTACTCCGTATTCCCCTTCCATATCGATTGCCGCAATTGTCAGACCTCAATGGGCGCTTGGGTGACACGGGGAAGCAGGTTCACTCTTAGCTACTACTAGTGTCATGAGGAATTGCGGGGACTATCATCGACTATCAATATGCCAACGACCAAGCTACAGTACATAGTAGTATCTTTCCGTACGCGTCCCATCCGCAAGCCGCATGATCCCTCCAGCCCTTACCCGTTGAGGTTTAAGTCTCTGGGGCCGGTCGCTCGAACTATTGATGCCTGCCGGGGGCAGATCGTGCTGTCGCTTCAAAGCTCGAATTAGACCGAACGCTTTTGCCGG